CGCGAAAGACTCTGCGAGCTGCAGCCCTGATTCCAGAAGTGCGTGGTCCAGGTGCTCCAAGGCCTCTCCATCGGCTCAGCACACTGACACCCCTTCCCCACACGACTGTGCTCGTGTCAATGTTCCTGGCAGTGCCCTGCCCTTCGAGGCCTCTCTCACCACGGCCACCAGCTCGCTGTCTTCGGGTTCTGAATGGTATGCCTGACACGAAAAGCTCTTTCCCGAAACCGTGACCACACCTGTCCAAAGAAACGGCGGAAACTAGCCGCTTCGAGACAAAACTTGCGGGGTTTGGAAGAGCGGGATATCTTCTGCCCAGACAGCGCAACGAATTGAACGTTGCATCCTGATTCAAGAGCAAAACGACTGGGGTCAAGAGAGAGACTCAACATGTCCCATGTTGCTTGGAGCCATGTCTTGGGAAGCAAGGACCAGGCTGTCTTCTGCCGAGAGCAAGAAAGTGGGGCAGTTCCAGGGGCCGAGTCGCTGAGAGGCGCGGCAGCAGATGCGTGTGAAGCCTCCTCGCACACCACTCTGCGGCAAGGTTCGACTGCCGTAGTCCATCAACCAGAAGGAAGAGGGCTGCAGGCTTGTCCATGAAAGGCAGCGGCCTGGGCATCGGAAACTGCGAATTTTGCTACTGAAACGGATGTTGGCCGAGATTGCTCCGAGACACTGCTTCAGCAGCGAGGCTGTGCGAGACAGTTCAGGCAGAATGACCGCCATATCGTCCTTGCGCCCACTCGAAGTGGGAAGGCACACGGATCCGTGAGCCATCTTCATGGAATGCTCCTTGGCGCAGTGTCGCAGATCCCCGCTTCAGGAACCGTGGGAGTTGACCCAAAGAACCACAGAAAGTCCTCAATACGTCAACGAAAAGCAAACCCTCCTCTACATGCCCATAAGGGCCTCGGATGAGTGCGGGATGCCCGTCTGAATCCATCGGCTCTTGGCTGGCACATAGGTGACCTCCGTCGAGCGGTTCCGGTAGTACTTACCTGACGCAGCTGATTCTCGTGACGGCTCATGCAACGCACACCTGTGCTTGTCTGTCTACATGTGTACCCAGTGTAATTATTCCAGCAAATGGGTGCGCATGTGTTTGCTCTCATGTCCTTTTTTGCATCAGGACTTGTGCAATCGCCTGAATATCCGAGCCCGCAGAAGTTGCTCCATGTGTGACAATGTGCTCATATGCAACATAGCATGTATGATGCTTTGAGGCCCACCCATATAACACTGTACTGTAACGTGAAGTGGCATGATGCAGTGTTCTGTATATACTGTATGTTTTCTATGTATCGTATGTCTGGTGTGTTCACACAGTACAGAAGCTTGAACCAACAATCTTCAGTATAACTTACTTACACAACACCCGCACCGAAGCCGCTGCGGCTCTCTCACGAACCTAACAATGAGCGAACGACATACCAGAAAGCGCTGCATGTATGCATGCATGCACGAATGTGCGCGGACCTGCACCTGTATGACTGCATGCATGCTTGTTTGCATGCGCGTGCTATTGTCTATGCATCCGTAACTCGGCATTTTGTGTTTCGTGTGCACAACATCTGCGTTGCGAGATGTAAGTTGGAGTTCTACAAACGATGAAAGCGAGCAAAGAGCACTTCAATCCAAGCGTCCGGTAAACGCATTGAAGAACAGGAATGGAACCTCGCAGCTCTCAAGCATGCGACGAGACAACTATGTCGTACTATGTCGTACTGTAACCATGTCTGAACACAGCGATGCTATGAAGAAAAAATGAAGAAGAATTGGAGTCGCAGCGTCAGCGACAGTTCTGGGACGCCGGCATGTTTGCCCTCCGAGTTCTGGCGTTCGTGCCTGTTGGAGACGTCGGCGCGTTATGGCTAAGCCGGCACTTGAAGTCTTCCGCTTTGCAGGTCAGCTGCATGTACCAAATGCCCGGCTGGCGAGGCACCGGCGTCTGAGCCTGCCCACGATCTAACGCAGCTTGTTGGAAGACGGAGCCCCTACAGTAAGCTCTAAACCCTCTGGGCCCTGCCTGTACTGCAGCCCAGGACGGACCGACGGGGGCAAAGTTCTCCTCGTAGTCTCTCCTGTTGGCGCAAGGCGAAAGTGTAGACTTTCTGGCGCGAGGATGACCCCGGCCTCTTGTTGTTTGCCTGAAACCACTCTGCAGTGGACTCGAAGGTCTCTTTCTTCGACTGTTGGGCCGCAATAAACTCTGGCACAAGGCTCTCGGACGTCTCCAGAATGTCCTCCCCTGCCAGCTCCTCACACACACACGTGGAAAAACGCCGTGGAACTTGAGCTTCTCAACCTTCTCATGGTCCTGGACAGTCCACTGCTTGCTTTCCAGGAAGTAGCACCGTCTCCATATCTGGGCAACACGAAGCGGCACACGGGCCCCAGCATCAGATGGCATCACACAGCTCCCGCTGACGCTGATGCGCACCGGCCTCCTGGAGACTAAAGCGCTTCTCGACGATCCTAAATGCGAGACGCTTCAAGTCACCTCGGCTGCATTTTCGAAGGGCGCTGCTTGCTGGTATCCCAAGGGCCAAGCGACTTCAGTGCTGAACCGAACAGCACAAAATATCGCCGATTCCCTAGAATTCCCACCAAGCGACATCCGTCTTTCCGCGCTTCCTCGGCCGTGGCACGCCGAGGGCCCAGCACCCGCACCTCCTGCAGAAAGCAGCCGCTAAGAGCATCAGCTCTAGCCTGACCTGCTCCGAGGCTCGAAGCTCTCAATTGTCGGCGCTCCTTCAGGTACTCGTCTGGGCGCAGCACGTACACCTGTTCTAGCAGTTCTAGCCCGCACGCTTGGCGGACTGTGGCTCTCAAGCTGAGCAAGGGGCGGAGAGGTCGGCGCGAAAGCTCGGACCAATCCTGTCAAATCTCAAGGCTCCCCAGCAGGCCCCAAGCGTCAGTCCGAGTGTAAGCGCCAAAACAACTAACCCAGCCCGCACACACAAGGATACCAAGAATGGCTCCGCAAAGCAAGTTCGGGCCGCATGCGGCCCCTGCCAAAAACCATCAAGACACAGGAAGCAGGACCTGGCGATCGAGGTCAGCACGCCGGCTTTCCTACTGGTGGGGCTGTGCCGCGGAGAGCTCCCGCGATGAACGGATCTGTTCCAACTACAGAGACAAAGAGAGGTCAGGCAACGAGCGCAAGAGCAAGCCCAAGCTTTGCCAGCGGTCGGACGAAAATGCGTCGGGTCGGGCGTGTTAGTGGTGTGGTCCGAGGAGTGATATCGGGCCACGTTGATGGCTTCCTTTTCACAGGTGGGTCAGATGATCCTCAATGGCAAGCCAACATTGAACAAATCCAGCAGAATTTCATGCCGGGTGATTGGGACAAGCAAGATTTCACACGCCATGTTGAAGGACATTCCTGAGATTCCTGTAGACAGCGGCGCCGAGATCAGAACAGACCTACCACAGGGGTGGAAGAAGACGCAGCCTCGGGCGCGGTTAGGCGCTTTGAGCTCAGCATAGCTCAGCCATATCTTCTGGTCATCCCATAATGGCGCAGCCGCAGCTTCTGTGCACTCTGAGGCTCAGTTGGGAATTCTCTGACTAAGGCCAACTGCAATCGAGAACTCGACATGTTCTATCGCATGAACTACCATTGGCGTGTTGTTGAAGATTCATTGAAGATGACCGGATGAGATCGGCTCGGAAAAGACGAGCTGATGGAATGGATCCCTTACAGCAAACGACCACAGCAGCGGCAGCAGCGGCAGCAGCAGCAGCAGCAGAGCCGCAGCAGAGCTCCATTGCCAAGCGTCCTCACATTCGTTAGGGACTGGGTGGGATGCAAGTGATGGCAATTGAACTTCAGCTCACGAGTGTGAACACTTTCATCACTTTGTGTTTTCTTTTCTGCCAAGCGGATTCGATCCAGTCAGAGGGCTGTCTTCCTTGGGAGCTCTCTTAGGCGAGCCATCGGGAGAGACTGCCCTTTCATGTGAGAGTAAGGACTTAAGCCACTGACAGGACCTTGCAGTGCCCTGCAGGCCTTTACAGTTTGCACCCTGCGGCTCTCCGATTTGTCCGCCGAGCGTCGAGTCCACTGAGACCACGAAGTCCGGTGGAGGGATGCCCTCTGCCGGCCACCTGATGGCTTTGTTACGAGGCCAAAAACTAAACGGTAACCCGGGATTCGGTCGACACACACACACACACACACTTTGAAGAACACTGAATTCGTAGCACTAAGCCGCACGCATCATCCCGGAGAACCGCCGCGCTGCGGCCTCCTTCAGGTCTGCCTTTCGAAGAGAAAGCCAAGGAGAAGCACAAAGCTGGGGGCATCTTCTTGCCAATCATAGCTTATTACCATGGTCCCGGCCTCATTACCACGCTTGTGATATGGAATAATATAGCATATCGCGAAACACTCGTACCAAATATTTCGTATCACGTAACATCGACACAGTATTAATGCAATACAAACCAAGAAAATGAAATGGCAAACGGCAAGACTGCAATACCAGTACATAGAAGTGATGGTTGCATGAAGCCTCCCTTTCTTGTGCCTCGTAGACCTCCTTCTCCTTGTCACCGGACTCAGGAGAGCTAAACATGCCGATGAGGCTCGCGGCACCTGAATCAACCCTGAGCTGCTTGTTACGGGCTCTTCGGGTTTTTCACCAGCGCACTCGCACAGGCAGGCTTAGGGGTTTAGGGGGCTTTTGGGGCAATGGGCATCGATGCGCACCTCGAGAACCGAGAACCTGTTTGGAGGTGTAGGTCTTCCATGCTCCTCCACCCTCTCGGGTCCTCGGTTCTGTGCTTTCTGGACTGTTCGCATGGGAAGTCTTTCCCGGGACCCATGCGACATCAGCCCGGGAGAGGAGATGGTGATCTACTACACATCTTTGCTTGAGGGCCAAACGCAGCTCGGAGACAGCGGCTGCGCATGCTCGAAAAACTTGCGAAAAGATAGTTGTAGCCCGATTCATGTCCCATGTCAATGTCATCCCATGAATGTGTGGCCGTGCAGCCTGGACTGCGGCAGCAGGGAACGGTTCCAGCCTCAACAGATTTTGGTTCCTTGCACGGGCTTGCAACGAGGTCCGTCACGCCTGAGGTGGCCATGGCCGCTTCCGAAATGTCTCCACAGAGGCAGAACCTTTACGTGACACAGAATCTGCAAGAAGCGGCGAATTCCTCCACTGACTTCACGGAGAGGGCCATGGCAGGAGCTTCCCAAACTCGGAGCCAGTAGCCACCTAGCAATAGAAGGTCCAGAAAAGACCGAAAAACTCCATGGCGCCTCGTACTCCTAGGATACGAAGCCTCGACCGGTGCGAGGGAGCCACACATGGGATCCACCAACAGCTGTCCAGGTACCCATGCCTTCGCAGGAGACATTGCCCAAGTGCCGTCTTCTGTGTCCGTTCTAAACGCTCTTGAAACATCTCCATGCACCAGAACCGGTCATGGGAAGTCCTCGCCCACACACCGTGCCAGCGCCGCGTAGCTCAGACCTCTGGTGACACAGAGGATGGCTCTGCAATACTTACAAACGACAGCGGCTTGTTTGATTTGGAGCGTGGCTCTCTCTCGAAATGCGGTGGGAAAAGTGGAAAGCTGCTGTAAGCGTTTCGGGGGTCGGACCTCCGAGCCTCTTCGAGTCGAAGAGAGCTGTGGAGTTTCTGCTTGGGTCGGGTTGCAGCCGTCTCTTACCGTACTTAGGCCCCGCGCTCGACTTCAGCTCGGCCTTGGTGTCAGCTCCGCATCGCTGCTCCGGATGTCGCAGGTAGCGCAGGAAAGATATTTTATAACTATCTATTCTATGCTCTTAATATGTTATAACATTGGAAGTGAATCAGGCAGTCAACGACCTAATCTGAGGTTGCAGCCAGGCCAGCCCGTCGTTCCGGGGCCAGCAAGCAAGTAGCACCTGCGCATGGGAGCTGCAAACTCGGGTGCCCTTGAACTTTGACACCCGAAACCCTGAACCTCCTGAACCCTTGCAACCCTCTCAACTCCAAAAACCTAAGACCTAGAGGTATTGTGAATAACACCCGATGCCTGCAGCACGAAGCTTTCCCTGAACCCTAAACTTCCTAAACCTGCAAAACCCTAAACCACCTCATGCCCCCTTCACTTGGAGGCCTTGGCGACCTAAACTCATGCCCAGGAGGATCTCGGCGGGCTGGAGCCAGAGCACCAGCTCCTGACAGAGATGTTCGAGGCATCTTCAGGTCTTCGCTTCTTAGGGGCTCCGAAAAGTGTGGGGCTCTGGTTTCTGGGTTGTGGCGGGATGTGGCGGCAAGCTCGCTCCAGCTCGAAGTTCTGCAGCTCGGGCCGCCAACCTGGGCCCCGCCCCGCCAAATGCGCGCCGGGCCGCCGGGCCCCATGCAGGCTTTTTGCGGCCGCTCTCCGATCTGAGCCCGAGCGGCCGAGGCTGGCCTCGATGCCTGCAGCCAGGGCGGCAGCAGCGGCATCAGAGCCTGCCGGCGAAAAGGAGAAGCAAGAGGCTTTGTAGAAACGCAAAGCGGACGAGGTCGGAAGAGTTGACACCATGACGTCCATGCACCCTTCCCGGCCCGAATCTACTGTACAACACCAGCACCTATGCCTTCCCGACAATGGGCGCAGACCATCTACGGAATCCACTGATGATGTGGTAAATTACACATGTTAACTGTTAGCACGCAGATCACCAAGGAGATGTCTTGCCTGCTCAAGCATGCCCGAACCGCCCAAACCCATTCAAAACCCCTTCAATCAGAGTGCCTATGATACGGGGCCCACTCCGTCGGCAAGTTACCCGAAAGGTCCACGGCGCAGCCTGTGCGGGCCAGGGGGATCAAGTGGTCATGACGTAGATTGGGATGCCTATGCTCCTATACGCGCCTCAGACTGCTCAGTATCCAAGCAGAACCTGGGAGGCTCCCAGGCAAAAAGCGAGCGCGCATGGCATTCCATGGCATTCCATGGCGCGCACAGCGCCGCGCATGCCACGTGCCACGCCTCGCGGCGCGGTGCAGGGAGGCTCCCAGGGCTGGGTCGGCCGCCAGCTGCCGGAGCTTGGCGTCGACTCGGGGATTCGGATCGACTGGGAATGGCATGGTTCGGGGGCGATTTCGCGGCGATATCGGATGCTGTCACAGGGATCTCGACCCTCAAGGTCACTGCAGTACTTACAGTATTTCATCTTCGCAAAGTTCGAGAGCTTCCCCGTTCTCAGCTCAGCACGGTCGCCGCGAAGCCCCGAGACACGAGCGACCTGGCGGATGTCTCCGCAGCGAGTTTACAAGTGACCACATGAAAGCGCTCTGATTCGCATGTTGGGGGGGTTCCTTTGCCTAAATCACACTTGTTTATCCAAGTCCCTCCGCAGGCTTTTGGAGTGTTTAGCAGTCGTTGGGGGACGACACCCATGCAAGGAAATGCTCATGCGCAGCCTCCCTGAAATGCAGCGGACCACCGAAACATTTTGAAACGAACGTCCATCCTGGCATCCTATACAAGCGTGAACCTTGTGATGACAAATCTGGCATCGCATTTACATGCGGTTAATCAACGGCAGCGGCGAGTCAAAATTTGCCGTAGCACTTCACAGATCGAGCAGAGTCGGCACCGAAGAGTGGCCAACTCACACAAGCCGCAGCCGCTGAGGCCACCGTCGAAGAACCGCTCATGACATCGCCGAGGAAAAGTGCTAGTCGTTCGCCTCGAAGTGCGAGACCCCGCCCGGACCTCCCAGGAGCGTCCCGCGTCGCGCCCTTCAATATACCTTGCCGTGGCACAGATGTGGGCAACCAGGAGGCACTAATAGCGGCCTCTCTTCCAAACTTGTCCTTCAGGTCGCAGGCGTTGCAAAAGGTGTTAGTGCGATGAAAAAGGTCTCACCCACCGCGCACAGGCAATTCCATAGCCATAGGCCCTGAGTTCGCCGGGTTGCAAATCACCGCCTTGACTACAAGCTCGTAGCGTCGCATCTTCGAAACCTGGGCAGTCTTGCCTGAACGCTGCTCCCATGGCTGCTGTCAAACACCATGTTGCCGACACCGCAGTTGCTTGCTGGCGTGGGCTACTGCTGAACCTTGCCTGCCGCACATGAAAGCCACAGGCGCAACGAAGCAGCACAGTGCCCTTCTTCAACCACTTCACTAATCTTCACTGGGTGGAGAGGCAGTGACGACACAGGACCTTGCAATATCTTGCAAGCCAAAGACTGCTGCGCCCATTTATGCATCTGCGCCACTACCGCTGTACCATTGCCACTAAAACCACTGTTGCATCTAGTCTTGCGCTTCTATTGGGACCTATTTGTGCTAGTCATGGTGGTACTGTGCGCAGTTGGAAGGTTGCCAAGTTTGCCGCTGGTTTGCCTATTCAAGACAAACCGTCCCTTTACGTGAAGACATGAAGACAGTGAAGTCCTCCAAGCCACAAGCTTCGAATACCCGGATGGTCATGATCAGGTCAAAGCATCAGCCCCATAAAAAGCGGCCCGTTGAAGGGGCCTGCACATAAATTCGATCAGCAGCGAGCAGCTTTTCCAGCCGAGCTTTCAGGTCCTGCGTTCGAGCTGTCAACTCGATTTCAAACGCAGACTCGCCGCTTCGCATACCAGGGATCTCTCACATGATGCAAAACCCCCGCCTGATTAAGGAGATTGCACTACATTATGCATGTGGTTGTTGTAGCAGTAAGGTCACAGTCGATGCAAGAGGCTTGATGGTTGTTGTTGTTGTTGTTGGCAGC